TGTGTAAGGGATTTTTTCCCTTTTTTCCTTCTTTGATCAAAAATGGCCGTGAACTCGTGCTAGTACATTTCGAGCTCATCATTGAAGACAGATTGATGACCTGTGGATGCATAACTCATAGAAGATCCAGCTGGAAAAAATGAAATACGTCAGAAGGAAACAGAATGCTAAAAATAATCATACAAATGAATATTATACCTCGTGATACTGCATCATTCCTATCATCCCTCCATTCATTCTCAGTGCGCATTCTCTGAAGTTCATTATTTAGTACCAGGATGGATACCTCAAGATCATTATTTCTTCCAGACTGTTGCTTGCGAAAGTAGATGAATCCTCCTGCAAGAATGATATATGTAAAAAAATTTCCTGAAAAAAAGATTTGGAGCCTCTCCATTGTTAAGAAACCTTGGGATATCGCTTCATAGATTATTACTATAGTACAGAAGAATATGAGCAGGAAGATGTCTGTGGATGATAGCATTTTATTATTTGTTAGATTGTGAATTGATTGAGGTATGCGTAAGTTTTTTTTTGTTTTCTTACTGGAAGCCTCCAACTAACCCAGTGTTTTTATATTCAAGTTTCCTCCGCAGTTGATAGACACGATCATTGAAAAACATAATAGTCTCTGAATCTTCGCTGATGATCTTACAGTCCATTATTTAGCTGATCCTGACCTGCAAATTACTCTGTATTAGAATGCATTAGCTTGGCGATCAAAATTTCGCTAAAAATTTTATCATTTATAGCTAAGAGATCAGATGCATTTTTATTTGCAATACATTGAAATAAATACAAAGATCAGAAACGGGTGGGGCCCTCTGGGACCAGGCGCACCCTGAGCTAAGAAAAAGAGAATTTCTCTGATATCTTCTGCACATTTGCCTTAGTGCCTTCAGCCAGGTGATTAGTTTACCCACATGATTCAAAAAAGAAAAATACAATTTCGCATAATTCAGTCTAAGTGAGTATCCTAGGTAGTCACCGGAGAGATGGTAGGATTCACCACTGACTGAGGTACAGGATTATCAAAATATATATCACAGTTTTTGTGAATTTCCATGAGTATTTTATCAAAATCGTCATCGGCAGACTCAGTTGGTGTTTTTTCCTCTAACTTTGCTAATTGAGCCATTTCTTCAAGCTGGATCCTTTCATGAAGTTCGTGATCATACTCATCATCAGATTCAGAGTCATCGAATTTGAAATATACGTCAGAATCAGATTTATTAGCATCGGATTCATTGGCGTCAGAGTCATTGTCACTTTCATTCGTTTCTTCTTCCTCCTCATCAAAATACATATCTGTCTTAGCTCGCGATACTGGGGTTACTACACTTGCCAACGTTTTGTTCTCTTTCTCTATCCCAGTCTCATATGGTGTACCTAATAAGCGGTCTCCTCGTCAATAGATCCTGTGATCATTTTTAGATAATCCTCCTCTTCAGCTGATAAGGATGAATTTTCTTCAGGTATGGACATAGTTAGAGCACTTATTTCAGTTGATTCATTCGTCCCTTCTTCTTCCTTAAAATAATCTGTAACATCCGAGGTATCACTAAAATTATTATCTGAGTTGGGGTTATTAGCTAAAGTAGTAGCCACGGTCTCAGAGATTTCATTCATAGGACTAGTGATTGTCTTCAATTTGACCTGTTCTATGATATGTTTGATTTGAGGATTAGTGAGTTTTGAAATTCTGTCAGCATTACAGGTGACCCGATTAACCATATACCCTGGTATACCATCAATTTTTTTCAGAGTTACAGGATCATATTCAAACTCAAATAACTTATTAATTTTTCTCGCTCTAGAGGTCCTCACACGTAAATATTCATCCGAAATACCTGTAAGGTATGGTTTCATTTTGGCATAAATTTGTATTCTTGCAGTCCTATCCGCAAGTTTCTTATTTTCAGATCTAAGTTCCAGGACCTTGTTTTCAAATCTTTCTGAGAATAAATGCCAAGCTGTAATTTCTGCTCGCTTTGCTGTGATCGATCTATTTCTTGCTCCATTTGCTTGGCAGAATTAATTGGCAAGTCTCTTAATACTTATCAATTCAGGAACTATGGTTTTGGGAGAAGAAAACTTTACATCTTTCAGAAGTTGATTGTCAGATGAGAGTAGCTCTTCCAACAAACCTTGTACGAATTCAGTTACTATACTCAGTCCTACTATCGATTTATCTTGATAGTCAGCTTTGCTCTCAATTTCTTCCAAACTTTCTGAAGCCACCTGATCGTATCCCAAGAATACAGTTTTCCCAATTTCTTCCAAATTTTCTGAAGCACTCCGATCATTAATGGTGTTCGAATCCATAGTAGAATTCGCAATATCTTCAATGACCCCTATTTCGTGAGATAATTCTGAGAAAATACAGTTAGTAATTTTAGGCACATCCATCTTCTCAATATTGTTAACAGTTCCTGATAAATAAGCAGTATCAGAAGAGCTATCCTGGCCAGCCAATTCGCGCTGGAGTTTCTTTTCCTTATTGCGTCACCTAATATCTTCACCAACGATTTTCTTATCCTCTTCATCTAAGAAAATATCCATTTCTTTCTCCTGTGATGATTTTTTATGATGGATCACACCCGAATTGGCTGAAGGCGCTAAAGCAAAATTAGATAAGATGTTATTAGGAGTATTATCACTTTGCAACTGCTTCCCTTCCAATTTCTCAATTCTAGCATCACGTCAGTTATTCTCTTCTATCATCTGTTTCATAAGCTCTGCATTTCTGGCCTCAATCTTGACATTCTTGGCTTTAACCTTAACAAGCTTCTTTCTAAGTTCAGGAATCTCGGCAAGTTTCTTTCTAAGTTCAGGAATTTTAGCATTTTCGGTCTCAAGTTCGACATTCCTAGCTTCAAGCTCAGTAATGCGTTGCTTTAATAAATTTATTTCAGATTTTATGTCTGTGTAATATCAGTGTTAGTATTCAAAATCGATAAAATATGTAGATTATTCAGCTGATCCAGATTAGTTAGATCGGTAGAGTACTACCATTCTGCTTGATCGGCTAGTATTCTATCAAAATAATTTCTTGGTGATCGTCTGATAGGGTGCCAGAATATCAGATCTAAAGCCTGCACTAAATTCTGATTGTTATGCATACTTAGATCTAAAAGTCTCTGAAGTCTCTGAGCTAAAATCTCTCTACTAGCAACATTATTTTGTGTAAGATGATTTCTAACCATCCTAATAAGATCAGGAGGCGTTATAATTTTCACAAAATTATCAATATAAATATTCGGATTAAGTGAAATGAGCTGATCTACAGCTTCTTTACTAATATTATTACACCCTTCTAAATTGAGATACTTTATGTTAAGACACGAACCAGCAATTTCTTTGATAATTATATCAGTAATTTTACAAAAGCTGAGGTCAAGATGTTGGAGCCTTGGGCAAGAACGAATAACATTACAAATTGATGTTTCAGAAAACTCTGTACGTCTAGAAATATTTAGACATTCTATTTTATAACATGAATTCACGATTGCACATAGGCCTTTATCATTTCCAAATCCACTGCATAAAAGTGGATATATTAAAATACTTCAAATTTGGGTATGATTCTGCTATTAGCTTTAGAACTTTACCAATAGACTCAGGCTTTATACTCCCTCTAAAATCTAAATGTATTATATTTTGGAAAGTATGCATAATGCCTTTGATTTTTTTATTTGAAAGTGAACGATAGTCTGATATTTTGAGATGAGTTAGTTTTGAGCTATAAACTGGTCTTCTTTCTCCTCTACATATTATTTTAAAAAATCTTTCCAATCGAGATCTATCGTCTACTTCATTCCCCTTTAGCTCAATGCGTTTCCATAGAATAGGAGCATCGCATCTGTATCACAATCGGGATACAAATAGAGCAGGATACAGTGTCTTATCTACTGCTAGGGAATATAGAATCCACTCTAATATTTCTGGTATAATAAAAATACTTGAATGCGCATATATAGTGCATATTATATATTATATCTTTAAACGAAAAAATAGCAAAGTTCCTTACCCTGAGTGCTTTCAGCTGGAGAAATTTCACGATCATGCAAAGCGCCTGATTTTTCAAATCCTTCTGGTTCAGCCATTTCAAATTACCACTCGCTTAACTTTTCTTGGTCGCGCCTTCTTTCGTTGCTTATGAGGACAGCCCCCTTTTACCTCAATTATCTCAACTGAATCAGAATCTTCAGAAGACTCAAATGAATAGGAGAGACTCTTACATTTTTTAATATTTACTGAAGAAGTTATTTTTTGTATTAAGTCGATCACAGTTTCCCTATCTACACATTCGTCTAGATCTTTTAATTCATCTTTTAAGGATTTTATATCCCTTTCTAATCCTTTTACTCTCCTTTCTAAAGTGTTATATTGGGAATGATAATCTTCCAATTGTTTCTTTAGTGCCCTATTTTCACCAGAAAGTGCACTATATATCTCTGTATTTTGCTCGTTTAGTCTAAATGTCTGGGCTAATATCTTTGTATTTTTGATAACTTCCTGCTCACTAGCTATACTATCAGATGAATGATTTTGATCAGTTACCATTTATATGATATATTATATATGATATATCTTGCTTCGAACAAAAAAATAAATTTAATAAATGATGTTTAACCCTTATATGTGATTAGTTTTCGTCAAAGAGTTCAAAGGCCATTGCCTGATCATAAGGCTGTCCTCTTTTTAGATATGAATAACAATCTCATAATTCTAATTCGATTTTGAAAATATACTAATAATACATAGTAAACATTGAAATAGAGGTTTGGTCATCTATAACGGGCTCAGATTATTATATGTCTAATCTTAGACATATTAAAAATAAAAAAGGTGTAATTTTAAAAGGTCATATTCACAGAGGGGTTATATATGAATAGATTTTAATATCAATGGGAATCGTACACAATCTTATCTTCACAGACTAGTCGCAGAAGCATTTATTCCTAATCCAAAAAATAAACCTTTTGTTAACCATATTAATGGCATTAAAACAGACAATCAGGTAAATAATCTGGAATAGGTAATTTCTAAAGAAAATGCTAATCGCAAAGTGTTTCCAAATCCTGGTTGTAGTAGATCTCGAAAAGTTGTATAAATTGGATTAGATAGAAATATTATTAGGATTTGGGATTCACTTACTCTTGCGCAAGATACACTTAATATTTATAAAAGTACCATTTCATTATGTTATAGTGGAAAACGAAATTCTGCTGGAGGATGGTATTGGATGTATTATGAAAATTATATGAAACCCAATCTCAATGAATTAAAATTTGATTCAGAAAAATTTAAAGTATCATCCTTAGGTAGAGTTCAGCTAGTGAATGGTATGATTACACAAGGAAATTTACAGTTAAGATATCTTCGTATTGGTAGAGGAACTAAAAATTATTCTGTTCATCGCCTAATAGCATTAGCTTTTTGCCCAAAAGAACAAGGTAAAGATTATGTAAACTATATTGATGAGAATCCTGCTAATAATAAAGCTTTGAATCTTGAATGGATCACTCTGAAAAAAAATGTCTAACATGCCGTATGTACTAGACTTCAAAAACAATATCCTGTTAAACAGATTTTTAATAATAGATCTTTTCGAGAATTCTCATCTATAGCTGAAGCATAGCGTGTAACTAAAAATTATCATATTTCAGATGTATGTCGTGGACTTCAATCATATGCTGGAGGGTATCACTAGGAATATATTGATTCAGCAATACACAATAAGAGTTGAGATATTTAGTTATTATGAATATCTATCAATAAACCAGTAAAATTTATACTGTATATAAAAAATGAAATAATATACAGATATCCTTTACTAGTATTTTTTAGTTTTCATCAAAGAGCTTGAATACCGTTGTCTGATTATATAGTTGTCCTCTCAATCAAAAATTGACTATAGTATAGTTTTACGCTGGGAAGGAATGGTTGTCTGACGAATGTCGAAGGGCTTGACTGACGATGGTCATAGCTTCTGATAAATTCTTTGCACTATTCAATATGATCACAAATACTGCCTCTAATTTGCGCAGATAGCTAGGAAGGAGTGGTTTATCAGTTTCAGGAAGAAATCTTTCTTTTTTCAGAAATGTATTAAATCATTTAACTTCTAGCACTCCTGGATCCCTCAACTGTTCAGAAGAAATTGATTTCTGAATCTAAGTAAGGAGAAGTTTAGCCTGCTCTTCATTTCTTTCTAACGATATAAATATTTGAGGATTATTCTGTTGGCCTCAGTTTTTTACGTATCCAGTTACACCTCCATTAGATATACACAAGTCTTTAATTTCAGCAGGACGGATGCAAAGCATGATCATTACATCGGCTAGGGCTTGCACAGTAGGTGTCTTAGATACATCATACAAATTGAGTCTCTCCTTAACCGATTCTAATGAGAAGTGATCTGGAAAATCAATCCCTTCATTTTTACGTTGATCCCTACGCTCCTTTTGAATCTTATTAGATGCGCAGGTTGTTTTTTCTTCTAATGTAGCAGAGATTATTTTTTCTGAGGCATTAAGTTTTCACAATTCTCTTCGAAGCCTACTAAGACGAAATGTGGTGGCGACAGGGTTAGAGGCGTTATAGTTAAAGCCTTGGCTATCGCCTTTACTTCTTTTTCACCAAGATTATCTCGAACAATACGCTGGGCTATACTTTCGATAGTTTTTCCATCTGAAATAATGTCAGATATTTGACATATATTAACATCCCTCCTTCTTTGAGGATTACCTGACTTCTACTTTGGCAAATTCTCTGATCAGGGATTAGTACAAATGCCTGCTCTCTGCTAAAATTATACCCTTTTTGGAAGCATTGACGACCCTTGTCTCTTTTCAGTTTATCTGTCAAAAGCTCGAGTAATGCTGGAGTGTGTCGGCTAAGTTCTTCATCACTCATATCTTTACTGAGTTTGTGTTCTGCAACGTACTTTGTTACAATCGCGGACATGGCTATGTAAATATAGGTTGTGGAGTAACTACTAGATTATGCGTAACTGTTAGGTTATTCTATATCTGAAAAGTTCAATTTGAAAAAATATTCCGCTATTTATCTATCCCATAATCAGTAAAAACTATCAGAGGGTTAGTGAAGGGAAAAAATATATAACTCTTGCTCTAGCCACATCGATTTAAAATTTGCAGGTAGATAGGATATGCAAAAAAAATACATAATAATAATTTGGAATTATATATTGCCTAGTTGTAAAGAACGAAAGTCCCATCTCTACTAATATTAATTAACCCACTCTTATTCGCTCTTTACCAAAGCATACCATTCTCCTGGAGTATGCTTATTGTTTTTTTCTATTCCTCATTGGTATTGAGCCAGGAGGATGTGATCCCATCTCCCTCAAGAGAGCAACAGATTATTTCTTCTCCTATCAATCTTTCCCGTATCGTCATATCCATATATTCATTGGAATCTTCTTCCACTTCTTTTGCATAACCACACATCCAAGAATTAGTTTCCATTCTATCTCGAAATATAATAGAATCAAGTCGGTCTTTTTCAGTGATGGTCACGAAGACATCTGGGTTCTTACCGAGTTTGACTGCCTTTTTTCTAAGACGCTCTTCTCGCTGTTGTCTAGCTAGGAGTATAGTAGACGATACTTGATTGATAAGCTTAGAAGAATCGCACTTGTCGCTTGTTTCTTTTGAAAGCATATCCACCATTTTGCTGATAGGCTCGATAGATTCGGGAAGTTTGCTAGTCTCAAGTTCATCTATTACTAGCTCAGATAGTTCAGAAGCCTTAATAGTTTTAAAAGTGGAGGCAACTGGAGGTTCAGCTTCATTTTTTACTAGCTAAGGCGAAGTTATTTTCTAGGGAATAATTTCTGACACATTGAATATGGATATGTCTGCTGTTTCATTTTCGGGTAAGTCAGGTTGAGGTATATTGGAAAATTCTTCGATATCACCTAAGCCTGATTCATGGAGCTTAGCTATGATTTTAGAATGGTTAAGAATATAGTGATATTCTCTTTTTCCATTATTTTGTAAACGTATTCTATCAATACTAATTTATGAAAACTTCTTTCCTAGAATAACGTTAGTAAATGGTTTTTCTCCATTATTTTCACACTAGGCAATATATTCTTGATATAAATTTGTATAATATGGTCTATCAATTTTTTCAATAGACCATGAGGAAGTATGATCAATTATAAACTGAATAGGATTAAGAAGTTGATCCTGCATTGTTTCTGCTCTCATTTTTGTATTGAGAATATTTTGTGGTATCCAATCTGAAAGATCACGTTTAAGTAAATAATTCATGAAAACACCAGGTGTATTTGGATTATCTAAAATTTTTCCTAAACATTTAAAATATTCCATATTTCCTTTACATTGAGGCGATACATCTAGACATACAATACGTCTATCACCCATTTCAATACGAAGTGGTGTATCATGATTACTTAAAACTATATATTCGATAAAATCTTTAATTGTTTTAGGCTCAGACCCTTTGTACTCTATTGTCATGTATGGTTCAGTTATGAATGATTTTAAGTGATCATTGACCTTATGCTATTCTCTAGAGGCCATTCCGGTCTCATTTAAAAGGATAAATTTTCGTACTTATATGCAACTATTAAATCTTCCCAATACTTTCCCAAGATCTAATATCGCAAAGAATAATTCTGGTCCTAGTACTTTCTTTCCAATAAAATATGTCAAGATATTTTTTCCAGAACGTGGAGGGGAGCTTAATACTAAAACAGTACCAGGTTTTTTATCAGGATATTGTACAAGATATGCAAACTAATTGAGAACATATTCTGAAAGAACTTTATTCCTATTACACCAGACATTTTCCATATGCCAGATTATCGGCTCAGTAAGAGCAAAATCTATTTCAATGATAGGTGCTTTAAAACCCAAGAAGAGGTTGAAAAACTTTGTATTTGGTGGGAGGCAACATGGTGAGTATGGGAGAAAATCAATGCCTCGATATCGAATTAAACCTTTTATGACTGCCTGATCTACTAGATTTACTAATTTTACCGCTTCCCCTCCTAGCTCAATTAAGTTTATTTCATACTTGGTAATTTCAAGCTTAGATGACATCTTAAAGAAAAGACCACCATCAGAATCCTCAAGTTTTAATACCCATAATTTTGTATCAGTTTGAATGCATGCTATTGTTGCTTGAATGGCTTCGTATACAGCATTGCAAGTGAATTTTTCTTTTGTATCACATATGTCAATTAGATCACCCTAAACAAAGTGATCATTAGGATCTGATATTCTGAAACAGTCTAGTTTTTTAGGACTCAGAAGCTTCTTTTCTCAATTCAAGGCTGTCTCGCTAATTTTAAGCTTTAACAAAGGCTTAATACTAGACTCTCTATCTTGATTAACACGATAGCAGAAAAAGCTGTAGGATTTTTATTTTGTATAATGTATACATTTTTGCTATCATGTTCTCGATCACATAATGGGCAGTGTGATGGGGAGACGCGTGATAATGGAAATTTATTAGGAAAGTTATCTGATGGATATGAAAGATTATATCTTTCAATACTAGACTCTTCAATCAATTTCTCTACTAGTTCAAATTCAGCTTTAGTGGTTTCGTTATCTATAACACTATTGTACTCTAGATGTCTTTTAACTTCTGGTTCTAGAACAATTAAGAGAGGACTTTCTACAATTTCTGATTCATCATTGGGCAGACGAAACATGAAATCGAAGATTGTTCCATCTTTTGGGAGAATAGCTTTTTTCACACGAACGTGTTCTTCAGTTTCTTCAATGAATTTGGGTGTCCCAACCATCTGCAAGGAAAATGATCGTTTATTTGCGATATTATCAATAATACTATTTCCTTGCAACCCTTCTGGAAGTTTTTTATGAATAAACTCAGTGAATACTACGACCTGAGCGATGCTTGGAAGCCTCATATCAAAAGTTGAGATATAGAGAGATATTTTTTTCTCATCACTACTATCGGCAATGGTCATAGATTTTTTATTCCATTTTGGGAATACTTCTAGACAAGTATCTCTAAAGGAGCAACAAAGTATGTTTTTAGCCTGACCGCCTGAAAGCTTGGGGGTGATAGCATTTAATGTTTCCATCGGTAAGTCAAAATCTATAATTGGCTGGAGTGGCTCATTCCTATCAATGAATTCGTGTAAGAAATGGCCTTCACTATTTGAGAGTATGGCTTCTATTTCATCCTCATTGTCTGCGTCTAGAAAATGTCTTGGCCTAACACTATCGTCATGAATTTTATATTGGCATTGTCCTATATCAGAGGCTTTAACCTACAATAGTACAGGGTGGAGGCATCGAGAAACTCTGAATATTCGGTCATTTTTAGATAACTTCCAGCTATATAATATCCTAAACTCAGGATATACTGTCCCGAGAAAAAAGTTTAAATAAAAAATAAATATAGAAATATAAGAGATACCCAATGAGAGCTGAATTTATTTGCTAATATCTTTCTAATAAAGGAAATATATGCGGACGAGCTAGTACCTGAGAAGAAGGATGCAAAATTCATTAGAAAAGACGCCAGTGAAACTCTTGCAAACAATATAGAAAACCAACTACCTCAACCCATGGTATGTGTAATTTACATGTAGATAAGTATCATTCGAAAATATATTATCATAGGAAGAAGCTAAATGTCTTAGAAAAATCTGCCCTAAAAAAATCTGCCTTAGGAAATTTTCGACTTCCAGAGGCAGAAGCGAAATAGCAAATTAACTTTATTAGGATGCTAGAATGGTTTCTTGAACAGTCTGCCTTAGGTGTCCTAGATGACCTAGAAAATTTTAAACTTCTTTACTTTTTATTTTTTTTATTTATAGGTATAACGAAAATATAGCATACCCATAGCATACATATAGTATACTGATATATATACCGAAAAGATATCATAAAAAAATGAATTTTTTTCTCTAAAACTTTATTTTACTAGTTCACCTAAAGCACCTAGAGAAGATAATACAGGAACAAGATAAAATAAAAAGAACACTTTCTCCTATAACAAACTCTGACCTAGGAAGTGACTTAGTAAAATTTCTGCCCTAGGACATGAAATCAGTATACACATACTGACAACAAATAGGCAATATGACTATTGCGATACGTATATATACCTTGCATTGAATGTGGTAAACAAATTTATTCCAAATATAGATATTGTAATTTGCATGTAAATAAGTCCCATTCGAAAGCAAATTATCACCGGAAGAAGTTGGCTAAGATGCTTCAGAATGGGCAGACTTCAGAGGCATTGGGGCAGGCTCTCAATAGAATGAAAATGCCTAATGCTATAAGTTGGCCCTAATGACTTATCGAAAATTTGGCTTCATGAAAAATTTATAGGAACAGCAAAAAAACTTAACAAGAACACTAGAAGTATCTTCTTTCACAATTTTAGAACACTGGAAAGGCAATTTTACTACTTGTCCCTATGTCCCTATGAGTCCTATGAATTTCTGAACTCTTTACCTTTTTTTTATTTTTTTTTTAAGCATATATGTATCATGCATATGTCATATATGTATCATACTATATCGCATATAAGCCATAGGGATACCATAGAAAAATTTCAATTTTTTTCCTAGAACTTTTATATTTCATAGGGACTCATAGGAACATAGAAACAAGTAGTAAAGAACTCAATAAATCAGGCTAAGAGACACAAAAATGATATCGAAATTGTTTCTATGAGTGTTCCCATGAATTTTTCTTATAGGAACAGAGAATTTTTATAGGAACGCTCAAAAAAAAAATAGCATATTCATTGTCTCAACCCAGTTTAGACTATGATCAGGTCTCAGAAAAGCTTACAACATCTCACCAATATACTAGCAACAAATAGGTAATAGTTGGGTCACAAATGGTGCACTTCTGGCCTCCAATTCTGAATATAAAAAAAATATGTGACACAAATGCATATATATTGGGTACTGAAAACATTCCTAGAACATTCTTGTCACTAGCCCGTAACTATGAAAGGGTATTCCATCACCAGAACAATATCACGTGACTAACGCAGTAAGGCGCAGTATAAATTCGGCCAGCATTATTTCACAAATTCAGCTAGCACTATTCCATAATTTTGGTCAGAACTTTGGGCATAATAATTTGACATCCAAGCTGGCAAACTGCCAGTTCCATAACACTTCCATGATAGTTCCTTAATAGTTCCATGACAGCTTCACAGAAATTCCAGAACACTATCAAGTCATCATCATGGTGTCAAGCGAATCACATGCTAAAAAGATCAGCCAAAATTATGATATAATGCTGGCCAAATTTAGACGCGAATTTACATTGAAATATTGTGCTACCCGACACAATATTTTTTTTACCACATTTTGGGATCTAGAAAGGCAACCAAATAGGCACAAAAAGGTAAGTACTTTAATATAGAATTTGACATCCAATCAGACATAAGAGGTTAGTATCATCAATATATAACTTAAATTACAAGTAAAGTAAAAACAAGAAGAAAAGAGAGGTAGTTAGGTTAAAGCATAGATGGCATTTAGATTATAACGTGGTAACAAAATCATACATATGAGAAAAATACAAATACCAAGAAAGGTATAAATATATAGCTAGAATGTGAACAGAAGTAACATCAAAATAAAAAGGATAGATTAAAGAGTGGTAACCAGGTTATGTATTCAGATTAAAGCGTGGTAATCAGGTCGTAGTCATTAGATTATAGCATGATATTTAGGTTATAGTATGATATTTAGATTTTAGTATAACATTTAGATTATAGTGTGATATCTAGATTATAATGTGGTATTCAGATTATAGCATAGTATTTAGATTATAGCGTGGTACTATAACCTAGTCTAAGTGGGATATCACGCTTTAATATAATTATATTAAAGCGTGATATCCCACTTCTTCGAAGTTTATATCATTATAACCTATATTAACTAGCTTATATTAGGCTTTACTATCTAAATCTATATTAACATTTTAGTAGATTATAACAGATTATAATGATTTTATAATATTTTATTGATTTTAGCTAATTTAGCAATATTATACTATAATAAAACCATATTCATTTTTATTTGATTGTTTAGGTAAAAACAGATTTATAATTTTTTATCTGATGTTATGATTTAGTTAAATTAGATCTGATCACTGTAGACAATTAAATCATAAAATTTATATTACATATAATCTCCCTAAATCCCTACCAGTTTCATAACAGTTTTATGACAGTTTCAGGATTATTCCAGACGCTGGTAAGTTTTTATAAATCATGAGATAATTAGCTAATCAGGTTTTATCTTTCTTGATCTATTGATATAATAGCTAAACTACCATTATTATTCTATTAATCATTACATTGATCAATTAATTTGCCTCATAATGATCTAATACATTACTCAATATTGTTTTATAAAACAGACCCTTTAAGAATCTTTTTACCATGTAGTCAACTATAAAGTTTTCTAATATTCAACTTCGTATCCTTATTGACGAATATAAAATAGAAATACAGAGTATTGCGCTATTACAAATAAAAAAAAGTATCACTTTTAGAATAAGATTGCGAAAAAAATAAATGATCAAGAAAATACTAATTACTTCACTAGTGAAGCCTGCTATAAAAAATTCTTAGGTCTTACAAAAGCTTTTTATGTAAATGGCGATTGCTTAGGTTCTATGAGATATCTTGATAGCAAATCTTATTATTAATTTATTAGATGATAGAAAAGTATAAAAAAGGTATTAGAATTAAAAGAAGTTTAGTTAGCAAAGAAATTTATGAAGAGTTCTCTAGCAAATTTTGGTTAAAACTAGGTATATATATTTCAGTAGAGAAATAAATACACCAGCTATATTATTAATAATGTGAATCTATTTTAGAATAAGCATATAATAAAGATAATAGGATGATCTCAACATCACAAGAGATGTCTATAGATTCCTCAAAAATCTCAGGATCTAAAGCTTTGACAAGTAAAAAAATAAGTTATCTAATTTCTAGATTATTAACTATCAAAATACCTCCTATCTCCAGACCTATAACCTAACTATCTCTTCTTTTTTGCAAAATGTGAATATGATCAATATTACTATTAATTATAATAAAGGAACAGATAAGAAACAAGAATAAGTTTTTTAGCATTTCTTTAATGTTTAGCAAATTTTATATTTTTTTATGACTGTAAGTGCGATACGATAGATTACAAAGCAAATAAAATATTTATTCTATAAATATCCAGTTATGTTAATAGAATACAAAAGCAAATAAATATTAATATCACTTGTAAAACATACAACACGTTTAAAAAATTCAAAGAAAAATCTTTATTATAAATTTGTAAAATAATACATGAGAAAAGGCTGACTGGCTAAGTAATAATGAAGGTAAAAAATGATAAAGTAGTACCAGTATAAGTAGTTCATATACTGTAGCATTTATAGGAATACACAAGTTTAAAAATAATTGATAAGCATATATATTAATTTTATTTGTGAAAATAATAATCATATATGACTATATAATATTAAAACATGGAAAATCTTTAGCAAGTATAAACAGGTAATCACAGTTGAGTAAAATCTGTCTTATCTGAAATCAGGAAAAATTTTGGTAGCTGTGAACATATGTTCACACTTGAGTAAAATTTGGCATAGTAAACAAATGCTGTAGAAAATCCATTCACTAGAAATTTATATTTTTTTAATTTTTTTAAGTATAAGTTACACAAAAAATAATAGAATAATACTAAACTAAAAGATAATTTGCTAATATTAACATGCTAAATTGTAATATCATATCATAAGAATTTTATCAATATCCTCTGATATAGATTTTAAATCATAAATGAAGGAATTCTCAGATAAATACAACCAATCGCGTATCCTTTCAATATTTTCAATTGAAATAGATGAATAGATTTTCTTTCACAATTTCTTCTGTTCTTTAAATTCAGCTTGAATTATTGTGAAAAAGTTGAAAATTTTTATATAATATGAAATTAAATTGAAAGAAAATAGAACTATATAAGAAGTGAGTTCAATGGCCAAGTACTTCTTTTTGTCTATGATTGATATAAAAAATAATGTAAGCTGATCACTAATAACTTAAGTATTATAATTCTTTATTCCTTTAACATTCTTTACATTACAATCTAAGTTATTGCCAAATATTCTGCAAAGATTACATATTGACATCATTAGCAATTTCTTTACATCTCTGACTGTGTGTAAGATTGTGACTTTAAACAGAGGATCTGATACCTCTGTATTTAATATTTCCATTCTATCTGACAAATGTATAACAAGAAAATCTGTCTTTCATGAGCTGATATCATTTACGAATATGTTATTAACCTTTCTTATCAAAGTGACATTCTTCTCAATCCAATCACACTTAATGTCTGGAAATGCATTTCAAAATACTAGAAATATAGGAGATAAGCATTCAACAATAAATGTTTACTCAGATATGTTATGATCTAGAACTCTTGGAAACCTATATTTAAAGTTTGTAGTGAAATCTAAAAGTATGTACTGTATAAAGAAGTTGAACCTTGCTACTTCTGACTGATTATCCCCTTCAACAATTTATCTCATTTATGATCTTTGATTCGATTTTTGCATAATCTATTTCAAATATTAATTTAAGTTTCTTAACAAAGAATTTCTACAAAACCAATCGATTTTTCATTAGAAACAACTTTTCAATTTCTCTATAAGTTCCCTTATCAATAGTTTCTTTAATGTGATTTATTATTGCATTAAATACACAAACAAGATATGGTGAATATTTATCATACATCACTTTCGTTACAATTATTTTATTTAATGTATTGATCAAAACTTATTGTGTCAGTTGAACTACTGAATATAATGTAGACTCACATAAAGTGGAAAAATCTTCTGACATATCAAATGATGTTGGGGTTTGCTAGGGTATATTTTGCATGATAGTATTATATTCTAAATTATTTAATGAAGTTATGGTTAGTTGAACTTGGAGTATACTTAGACTGGTTTCAACCAAGATAGTATATTCTGAAATATTACCATTGTCTATAGCATTACGCTTTACTTTTTCACATGATCAGTTTGACCTTAGTTTTTTATTCTTAATATACTTCGAATCAGAAGTCAAAACATTTTATGATCATTGTAAAACAGTAAAAAAAAATATCAAATTACTTACTTTTTTGGGTTTTTTCATGTAGTCTGGATCAGATAGATGATTTACTTCCTTAGAACTTTTAGTATAACTTATTGATTTTCTTTTTCTAGCCGGTTTCTTTTATGCAAAAAAAGTCATAAATCAGTTTCAATATAATTATTCTTTAATCTTAACTGGACTCACCTTTTTTGTTATCGCTAAATAAGCTTTTACAGTCTCCTTAGCCATATTCTCCATCATATCTTATATCTTACTACTTATTAATATGGCACTATTTCTGTATAAGTATACTATTTAGTAAAAGTCCAAAAAGTTATTCAGTTAAAAGTATACTTACCATTCGTATAGCTATTTCTGACTTTAGATATTGCTTTTCTTTATTATTATACATTAACTCGATTTCATTTTAGAAATTATTGACATCTTTATTATAGAACTGATGTTTCTGATAAAAAAAAAGAAATAAGTTAATACAAAGTTTGTAATTGCCAAGATACTTATGTAAAAAAAAATATTTAATTATTTTATTTATTTCGTAGATCACAACAGACAAGAAGACTATAAAATAGAAAGCAATAAGGTTTTCATTGTAGTTATGTGAGTTTAACCTCTTCTCAGAACTATTAGGAGACTCTTATACTGCTTGTAGCAGATTACAACAGACAAAAAGACTATAAGGTAGATAGCAAGAAGGTTTTTACTGTAGTTGTATGAGTTTAATCCTTCTCAGGACTGCTGAGAATCTCCTATACTACCTTTAGAATAATTTAAAATCACTTACCTCAAGATCTTAGATCAACCGAGTAGCATCCTTCTTAATATCTTATCTTTTATCAATAAGTCAAAACTCTTTCTGAGTATATCAACCTCTTTATGAAAAGAGAATGTAAAATTTTGTTAATTTTGATGGTGTTTATAAAAGCTCAGAAATCAGTATTGATTAGTCAATATTTCATCAAAGTAGCTATTTATAATATTATAGATGGAAAAATTTTTTCAATATTAGTAAACGAAGATTATGAAAGGAAAAATTTTTTTTTAATATATGAGAAATTGATATCGCACAGATTGATCTGACTCATTAATTGATAAAAACTTTGATATCGTGACCAATGTGACCTATACTTTTTACATATCAGGTGATAAGCGTGAAGATTCTTTATGACACTTTATTAATAAGTGATAAAAAAATAAATACAAATGCAAAACTAGCTTGATAAGCTTTATGCTTAGTGTTGTTAATCAGCATAAAATTTATATCACTATAAGCTTTGAGAGATAGCAAGGTTGGTAAGAACTCAAAAAAATTCAAGTTGATTAACAACACTATTTATACTATAATTATGAACTTAAGTTTATTGCTTAAATATTACAGGTAAGATAATATTCCAACTTATCTTGGAATAGCAACTTCACTAATTCAGGATTATAAGGGAACTGATTTTTATTTTCGCAGTATTATAAGCTATGTAATCCATAATTCTGATATTTTCTATTACAAATAGAATATGATAAGTTCTACAACTAGTATTTCATACAGATTCAGATTGATCTGATCTGTCAGATTCAGATTCAGATTCAGATCTGATTACGTCAAATTTAAATTCAGATTCAGATTTGATCTGTCAGATTCAGATTGAATTCAGATCTGATCTGTCAGATCTGAATTCAACTTTTTTAAAGCTGAAAAGTTTTTTTTCAATAAAAAGGAATGAATTTTCAGACTTTTTTGAACCAAAAATTTGTTTTCTTTTATTGAAAAGAAACGAATTTTCAGATCTCTTTTAGAACTGAAAAGTTTCTTTCATTGAAAAGAAATGAATTTTTAGAACTCTTTTAGAGCTGAAAAGTTCCTTTCATTGAAAAGGAATAACTTTTCAAAACTCTTTTAGAGCTGAAAAGGTTCCTTTCAATAAAAAAAATGACTTTTCAGAACTCTTTTAGAGCTGAAAAAGTTCCTTTTAATGAAAAGGAATGACTTTTCAGAACTCTTTAGTTCCTTTCAATAAAAAAAAATGACTTTCAGAACTCTTTTAGAGCCGAAAAGGTTCCTTTCAATGAAAAGGAACAACTTTTTAAAACTCTTTAGAGTCAAAAAGGTTCCTTTTAATGAAAAGGAATGACTTTTTGGAACTCTTTTAAAGCTGAAATGTTCTTTTCAATGAAAAGGAACGACTTCTCTGAACTCTTTTAAAGCTGAAAAGGTTCTTTTCAATAAAAGAAATGACTTCTTAGAACTCTTTTAGAGCTAAAAAGGTTCCTTTTAATGAAAAGGAATGACTTTTTCAGAACTCTTTTAGAGCTAAAAAGGTTTCTTTTAATGAAAAGGAATGACTTTTCAGAACTCTTTTAGAATTAAAAAGGTTCCTTTCAATGAAAAGGAATGACTTTTCAGAACTCTTTTAGAACTGAAAAGGTTCCTTTTAATGAAAAGGAACGACTTTTCAGAACTCTTTTAGAGCCAAAAAGATTTCTTTCAATGAAAAGGAATGACTTTTTCAGAACTCTTTTAGAGCTGAAAAGGTTCCTTTCAATGAAAAGAAAAGACTTTTCAGAACTCTTTTAGAGTCGAAAAGGTTTCTTTCAATGAAAAAGAATGATTTTTTAGAACTCTTTTAGAGCTGAAAAAGTTCTTTTCAATGAAAAGGAACAAATTTTTAGAACTCTTTTAGAGTTGAAAAGGTTCCTTTCATTGAAAAGAAACATTTTTGGAACTCTTTAGAACTGAAAATTCATTTTTTCAGATCAGATTTAGACTTAAACTGATCTATTAGATTCAGATTTAAGATTCAATCCGTCAGATTCAGATTAGATCTGGATTTTAATAGATCCGTCAAATTCAGATCGAATTTGGATTCTGAAAAATAAAAATCAGATCAGATTAGATTTGGATAAAATCTGATCTGATCTGATTTTGCAGAACACTACTTTATATAATTCAAAATATTAATAATTTAAAAAAAATTAGTAATCTATTCATAAAAAATTTTATTTTAAAAGATTTTTTATTTCTTTTGATAAAAAAAGTAATCATTACTAAATCATTATAATTATTATTAAAGATTTTAAGAATTCCTATTAAAATCAATAAAAAAATTTCTATTTAAATTTAAAAAAAGAAAATTATATAGTAAAATTTAATTTTTCTAAAATTTCTTTAATAAGTTTAAATTAAAAAAAAGAGATAAAATTATTGACCTCTTAACTTATATAAAAATTTTTAAAGTAACTTTTGATTTAATAAATAATTAAAAATTTTTAATCACATGATAGATCAAAATTCAAATTATATAATTTAAAATATTTTCTTCAATTTTTATAATAAAAGATTTATCTTTAATAAAATTTTTGAAATTATGAATAATTATTTAAAAATTATTAGAGATGATCTTGATAAGTAATTATAAATATAATAATAAATAAAGTAAAATATGTAGTTTTAAATAATAATAGAAAGTTCTAATTGATATTAGAAAAAATTAAATAACTTAATTCAAATCTATTCAAGATTTATTCTACAATTATTAAAAGTTATATTAATTAAAGAACTATCTATATAAAGTAGAAGATAATATTTATATTATAGCTTTTGCTAAAACATAAACTTATCTTAATATAAGCTTTTTATAATATAAATTTTAATTAAATTTTCATTAATAAAAGAAGTAATTATAAAAAAGTTAAATATTTATAAGATAAAGATCTGTATTTTAATGAATCTAATATTTGAAATTATATTTATTTTTAAGTTAATAAAGATGTAAAACTCTTAAATTTTTAACATAATATGATTTAGTCTATCAAAATAAGTTTTAAAAAACTTCTTAATAATAACAACTTTATTTATCTTTTATTAGTAACATATAAAATATGAGAAAGAGAAAATCTAATCTTTTTCATATTATTATACATCTTAAGAAAAGGTGGTCTATTGATTACATATTTATTATGATATATAATAATTTTGATTTAAAATTAATTGAAAAATCAATATATTTTATTTTATTTATTTAATATACAAAAATATATTAAATATACAAATTATTATTTAAAATATTTAAAAAAATAATTTTATTATTTTTATAATTTATAATTAGTTTTAATTAGAATAAATAATAGATAAATTTGAAATTTATTTTTAAATATTAAGCTTAATTTTTATGATTAAATTACTTTATAGTAAAAAAAAAATTATTTTAAATATATCAATTTTTTTTAAATTAAAGATATATTATAATCTTTTTAAGAAATAAATTTTAGTATAAATTAAATCCTAATTTTTTTTATCTAATGTTAAATTTAATTTTTAACTATTTAAAAATATAAAGTATTTAAAATATTTAATAATAATAGACTTATTAGATAATTTTATTTATTTAAAAAAATAATATTAAAATTAAAAAAATAATTATAATAAAGTATTAATTATTTTTAAATGATAAATTTTATTATTTTATTAGACATTTAATAATATCTAATAATTAATATTTTAAAAAAAAATAATTTGCTAATTTATGATTATTTTATAGTTCTTTTAAAATATTAAATAGAATCAAATTCTAATAAACAAATTATTTAAATAGTAACTATTCAAAAAAAACAGATTATTATTATAAAAATAGGATAAAAAATAAAAATAATAAATAAATTTCTAAGTTTTAATAATAAGTATAGCAATTTTATTAACTTGAAGTATTTTAAATATATCTATTAATTATAAAAATTATGATGCAAAAAATTGTTTATTATCTATTACTTTAAATTTATTAACTATTATTGTCTTAATCTTATTATAAAGAATATTTTAATATTACTTAATAATAAATATAAATAATGTTTTAATTATTTATCAAAAAATATTCTAACAAATATTGTATTACTAGTTTAAACAAAAGATTACTTAAAGTATTAAATGATAATGAATTATTTGAACTTATAAAAATGAAACTCTCTTAAAACAAGCAGAATATAGTATAGATAATCAATATAAAATTTTATAGAAAATTTTAATGCTAAAAATTTCAAGTTTAATTAATATGTAAAATCTTGCAATACATATTATTATACAGAATTTTTCAGTAAGGCGTTTCTTTGTTTAGGTAGAATGTTTCTTCATTCTTAGCATTATTCAGAGTCTCTTAGATCTTGCGAAAGTTATGATAATTCGCTTTAGCCTATGGTTTCAACGACACGACCAATAGAAATCAGGAACTAATTAACTTAAAAATAGTATGTAA